AAAAAAAAAAAAAAAAAAAAAAAAAAAAAAAAAAAAAAAAAAAAAAAAAAAAAAAAACAGAGGAGGAGGAGGAGGAAAAGCTGCCCGCGAGAGAGGAAAAAGACCGTTGTTTTTGACGCAAGCTCTCTCGCACAGTCCTACATTATACCTATCTCCGTCCGTACACGCTACGCATTACGAATTATGATGCATCGCACGTCCGTCACGGAGCTGTCCCGCTCGGCCAAGCATTCTGCTCTTCTCTTCTATTTTCCTATGTGTTACGTTACACGGTACAGACGAGTCCGTCTATATTTATGTTGTTACTTTTATATATGTATACACACCAACATACCTATATAAACGCACAACAAAGCGTCCGTACGACACGATCGTATTGTTATAGTAGCGACTTGCAGACGTTACGTAACATATATATATCATACATATATACAGGTACACGGGCAAGCTAGACCAGTTAACACGCGTTGTACTTACTATGTATATGTAGGTATACCCTAGTTGTGCGTTTGTGTGCGTGCATGCGCGTGCGATTACGTGCAGCAATCTCGAACAAAACGACCTACAAATTGTGTTACGGGCTTCGTCTGTTAGTATGTAGTCTGATGTGTTTTAATGTTTTATCCGCTGTATCGTTGTTGGTTGTTGTTGTTGTTGTTACGTGTTTTTTTTTTTTTTTTGTTTCGTTTGCCGTTTTTGTTCGGTTGTTTTGATAAGGACGAGAGCTTCGTTCGACTCGCCAAGGCTGCGGTCTCAAATTCTCATGCTTATCCGATGTCGGAAGAAGAAAAACCACATGTATAGAGAGGTACTCGATTTACAACGATTCGAGTGATTTTTTATTTTCTTTTTTTTTTTCTTTTTTTTTCCTTCGTACGAGCAAAAACAAAAAGAACTCATTAGCGTAAAATCGGGGCTGCTCACCCGAGAGCCGCAAATACAACCCGAGCGATTCAGTTGTTACACGATGATGATGATGATGATGTTGTCGGGGGGGAAGGGCACATTACAGGGAGCACAATCAAGACATAACTTCCTCGAGGATACCATACATCAGCGGCGCATGAAATATAAACGTAATATTATTTCGTAATGAGGATTGGAAGCGGTCGACGATAATATAACGTACGAACGAGGACGGGGAAGAAGCGCGGTCGTGTTATTCGCTAATTTCGCGTCAAGAAGCGCTTAATTAGCACAGGGATAATGCCAACATCACCCCACCGCAACTATGGATAATAGCTCAGTGCCGTGTTTGTGTTTTAATTAATTCGTGAGGTAAACGTCAAAGGGTAGTGTTCATGGCATCCGCTCCTGTTCCTTCCCGTTTCTTTCGTCGTCCATTCACTCGGTCATCTTAAGCAACATACGAAAGTTGCGCGTGTCTTTTGCAGTTTTTCTTAAATTCACCTTGACCGGAGCGGAAGAAAGAGACGCAACATGTAAATATCTCGATTTTTCGACCCATCGAACAATTCGCACCGAGAAAGAGAGAGAGAGAGAGAGAGAGAGTTGAAATAAAAAAATCAAAGGACACGGGTATAATGACAACAACGTACCTATGTGGAAGCCGATGCTTCGAAACGAGGGGAAAAAAAATGAGGGATCGAGTAACAAAGGACATGTTTATGTTCTCGATGAAACTCGACAAATGGATACATACGTCCTCGTTGCATTGTCGTCATCGGAGCGCAAATTGAAGAGTCTTTGCCGGATCGCTAGTGGCGTTTGTACGATAAAAAAGGGGGCAGGGGAAAAGGAAAAAAAAGTCTTGTTTTGAGCTATAGCATTGCTGCTCGAGAGAAGAACTCGTCGTAGACAAAGGGAGGAAGAGGATACTTGGCGTTGGAAGCGAGAGGCTGATGTGCACTAATAAAGGAAAAAAAAAAAACATACAGAGGACTCGTTGTTTATGCGCGTTGGCGTACGCTTCTCATTAATTTGTTTGCTTTTTTTTCTTTATTGTTTTTCATCGCATTATTCAAGTGACGCGGAAACAGCAAAATTGTACAATAAAAATGCTGGGACGCGTAGGATAACTTTCGAGGGGATGAAACATATGTACGACCTACGGATTTCATAGGCTCCGAAAAAAGCTCGCGTACCAGCCTATACGAGATAGTATGCAACGCACTGCATATCGGTTTCCGAAAAATTTTTGTACACCTACTCTCACTACTTATAAAAAAAAAAAAAAAAAAAAAAAAAAAAAAAAAAAAAAAAAAAAAAAAAAAAAAAAAAAA